GGGGGGGTAAGAGACCTTTTACTATCTTATTTCTTATATTTGTATTTTGTTTTTTGAACAATAAATGTTTTCATTATTTTCAAAATGAGTGGTCATTCTGAATGCATATAAATAAATGAATAAAAGAAAACAATGAAAAACAAGTAAAGTATGCAAGTAATGCAAGTTTCTCTCTGTATTATCAAAGAAACATAGCATGGAATGCCGCACACTAGGCAGGCAAAATCACGCGGTGAGGGCATAAGTAAAAAAAAAAACGACGCAGTCACGACACCTTGCCGCACTGCGGGCAATCGAGAGGCATTGCGATTCGACCTGTTCCCGGCACACATGTCAAGGGAGATCACTGCAGTAGCATCCAAAGTGAGAAGAAATGGGTCAGTCATGTGACCACACACGCCTATTCATGTTTTCTTCACGCACAAGAGTCACAGCCACTTGACCTCATTAACTGCCATGGTCTGGAACATCGACTCTAGACTAGTAGCCTAGGCTACTCCATATCAGCACGTACATGCATAAAAACTAAGCGCTTTTTCGGTAGTTCCCACCCCGCAATTGTTATTCGCCGGTTTTGGCCTCAAGAGTACAGAGGTTTCATGCAACTAGCCCCCTGACCTAATAAAAAATATGGTGGGGGGTTTCACAGTAATTTGATGCTTTGCAGTTGTTAGGTTTGATATCTTAGCTTACTGCGCATCAAACATGTATAGAGTCTATCCGTATCACTGCATTTCTGCTTGGGTGTGTAACCCCCGGTCTTCTGCTTTGTTTTGGATAAGAACAGTGAAAAGGAGGTGACTTTCTGTGAGCATGCGCAGAATGCAACTTATTTCACTTTCGTTTTGGAGGTTCCTGTCAACACACGTGGTTCTACGGTGTCGGAAAGTTTTGCCCCTTCATATTGATTGTTTTCATAATCGGTATCTGTGAATTTACTAAACGCTTGGGTAGTCTATTATTTAGCACATCTAGTTAATCTAGCTCTAATGTATCGTTGAATGTATAATAGAATAGATAAATACTATCGCAGGCTGCTTCTTATGCCCAGAAACATGCCAGATAGGGATGCGCACTGATGTAGACCAAATTCGTTCTGTCCGTTTAAGTGTGTAATATCGGCTCTTTTGCTATTTGGCATTGATAGTGTGGCTTCTACGCCCTTTGGTTGTTTTAATTCTTTATGACCAGCGTTGCGCACTGAAACAGGCAGTTTTCCTTCTGTTTGGATGCGTTATATTGCCATTGGAAAATTATCAGAATGTATTCATGTCAAAATTAATTAATATGGAAATTTAATCACCAAAATGTTCAATTTCTTCTTTTCACGTCTTTTTCTTCTTCTTTACTGTCCTTTTCCTTTAATTAAGAATACTTGTCTAGGAGTCTAATTCTTGTTTTCTTCTTTCACCTTCTTGTGTCAACAGCACCTTACTTTTTATCCATTATCAAAACATAGACACGGTATAAGGAAATCTCCCGTTAGGGGGCTCGTAACAGCTCCCAAAAAGAACACGCCTCATTGACCTTGGCCTTCAGTTCCGGTCAGTACAGGAACTTCTTGCAAGGAAAAGAAGACAAGGCCAGGATAGAGAAAGATGAAAAGTGTAAGAAAAGAGCTAGATCTAGATCTAGAGCTGTAAACATAGTACTAATAGTACTATTGCGCACTCAACCAATCGATATGTTGCACCAAAACAGACACCTTGCACATCAACCAGACACACGTTACCAAACAAACACCACCACATATAGGAATTTAAAACTGCTGGGTTTTGTAATGCGCTACACCGTATAGAGGAAGGAAGTGGCTATTCTCACCCGGGGTGAGAATAAAAATACATCGTGAAAAAAGACCTTTTTCCTCATTTTCGAATACTATCTATCGGTGTGGATGATCAAATTGATAAAAGCCAAGAAAAAATTACGTTATAGCACAAAAGTAAGCTAATTTGATCGTCTTCAAAGATGCTATGGCTATTTCACTTTTCAAATCAAGCCGAACTACGCGGGTCGCCATTTTGTTTTGCCCGGAAGTTCTCACAAGATCTACTCCTCCCCCCCCTCTCTCTCTCTCTTTCTGAATACTGTCTATCGGTGTGGACGATCAAATTGACCAAAACAAAGTTAAAAAATGATGTTAAAAAACAAAACTAAATTAATTTGCTTGTCTACAAAGATGCTACGGCTATTTAACTTTCCGAATCGAGCCGAACTACGCGGGTCGCCATTTTGTTTTGCCCGGAAGTTCTCGCGCTACCCCTCTCTCTCTCTTTCTCTCTCTCCACTGCCTACAGACAAAATTGCACGCTTTTAGGCTAACACTAACAGTAGAAATAGATCTAGATCTAGAACGTTTGTTCACAGCACAAAATTCTATCACAGAATTGTTATCACAGTGTAGAATTCTGTGGTTCAGGGTGAACGCTTCACTGGTTGGCCGAGGCTATAACGGTGAACGCCCACCGGGTGAGAATAGCCAAAAGACTCGCCTGCGCTACTCTCACCCGTCTTTGTAACTTCTGGTGAAAAAATCAGGAACATCGACCTGTAACTTCCCGAGATATTCACGAAAGATCTTTTACAGTATAGCACAGTAACGGACTGACTCTACTAGATCTCGGCTCAAATAAGGGGGGTGGGAAAAGTAAGTTTCATTTAGTTTAGAACTAGATCTACCGGCAGGACTTCCGTAACGAGCGACCACTATGAGACAGAGCAGAATTGAGGGCTTGGGGTAGGGGTAGGAGTAAGGGTAGGGTTAGGGTTCTGGGTAGGGGTAGGGTTAGGGTTAGGGTTAGGTCTAGGCCTCTTCTTTATTGTGTTTGATGGGGTGGTCGCTCGTTACGGAAGTCCTTCCGAACTGCCAGAAAGAAGCCTAATCGTCGGAGGGGTCAAAACTAGTATCCCCAACAGGACCACATTGTACAGGAGTGCCCTTCTATCCTCCACTGCCACTGACGTATCATTGAGTTGAGACGCTGATGACTGATGATAACCTGATAACCCTACTCCACACGGTAACTTGTCAGTCGTAAAACAAAAACTAAAACTCATCAGTATCAGCAGCCTTGTCAGACTTGTCTTGTCGCCCTTGTGTCATCTTCGATATCAAGACTGTAGATCTAGATCTAGATCTAGATCTAGATGTCATACAGGATTATGGATTAAAATTATGCTTATGGTGAATGACACATACCCGTAAATAATAGTCTTCGCAGTATTTGGCAACATTTTCTAAATTGCGGTAGTTTTCCTGTAAGTTTTTTCTACCATCAGGAATTTCTCTATCGATGAGAGAAATCAGCTCTTCTCCAGCAGCCATCTTTACCCGGAAGTTGAGTCTAAAAATAAATTAAAGATTATGTCACATGACCATATCACATGAACAGTCATGTGATATTGAATTGTTGAACCCACAGATTCTGTAGTTGAACCCAATTGTGTTTTTGCTTGCGTCTTTCGTCTGCAAGGAAATTATTTTGTCATTTTATGATACTGAAAAGGTACTCAGAATTGTCCTATTAACGATGCAAATTAATTTACTGTTGCTATTCTGTTTCATGACGCTGATGTTTACAGTTTTGTTCCTTCATCAGACTAAATCGGCTTCAACTTCAAGTACCGGTAGTGGTAGTCGGTTGTTAATTGCTTACTAATACAGTCAAACCTGTGTAAGACGGCCACCCATTGTCAAGGAGAAAAGTGGCCGTATAAGACAGGTGGCCGTCTTAGGCAGGACTGATCAAGATGAAAACAAACCATTCCCATCTGAAGTCCCAATCGAAAGTAGCTGCATTGTTATTGTTTTTGTTGTTGCTGGTTTGTATTTTGTTTGTTATTTTTACTTTG